CTTGAAAGGTCAAATACAGCTTGCTATATTCTCTATTAACCCATTTTTATGTTTGATATTGCAACCTCTGTTTTAAGAATTTCCAGCATTGAGGAGTGTTACTCATTATCATGCATCTAAACCATAATTTTTCTGTGCAGTTTTGTTTATTTCTAAATAAATCTATGTATATACTTAATTTCTGTAATATCTATTCAGTTATATTCAAAAATATCAATCAAAAGTGAAAATTTTCTTAATTTCAAAAAGCAGTGTATTTAAAATACTAAAAACATCTTTCAATGACCCCCTCCTCTTCACATGTAGATGTTTTTTTTGTGTGTGTGTTTAGGAATTTTAATAAGACTGGTACTTTCCTTTCAGCTCGAACAGATAGGTATTGCCATGAATTGGAAGATTCTGAAGAGCTGGATGATCCTGACGAGAGTTCTTTGTTCAGCAGTTTTTCTTCTTGCTCTCCTCGGTTTAGGAAGGTCTATTCAAGGGTCGAAAAGGAATTGGAAGAAGAGCATATGTTGCAGGTTATTTTTTTCTCATTCAAAGGACACTAAATTTTAGCATAATTATTACACAATTGTTATTTAATATTTCTAACCCCAACTTTTCATAGCTCTTTAAAAATATTTGTAAGTAGGTCTTGTAGAAACTATAACACCACTTGGCATTGTGCACCAATGTCAATGTAAATCTGTCTTACTGTTGATCTCGGACTGTAGTGTTGTGAATATAAATGAAGGTTTTGGTTCCTTGTACATATTGTGACAGTCAAATAAATTATGGAAAATTATTTTTGACTAATTGATTAAATCCAACTAACTGACTTGTAAGAGATTTGTCCGTTCTTTAGACATTGAGCTATAAACAAATTTAAATTTGCATCATAACATTCATTGTGCCGAAATCTAGGACCATCCTTTAGATAAAGTAAATAGTGAGCTGATTGAACTCATTAAATTTACTTTAATAAATTTTATTGAACTCATTGAATTTTTTAAATTGGCAAATTTGAATTATAAGAATGAATACAGAATCTCTGAAAAAGATTAGAAGTTCTGTCTAATAAATTAAATTAGAAATTAGTTTAAATAAATAAATTAGTTGTCAGTTGAATTAGTTGAGGAACTTTTAGTAAAGCTATTAAATACAGTATCAAATTTGGTTAATTTAGACTGTTAAATTTTTAAATTATGTAAAGTTGATGAAATAGAAAGAGCAATGAAGAGACAACAAGAATACAAGGACATTATTATCACATGGAAAATCTGTGTGAATAGAATCTTAAAAAAGGAGTGTGAAAATCAAAAAAATTAGAGAACAAATGAAATTAAAAGTGAATATATATATATGTATTTAGAGTAGTTGTGTACTATGAAAAATGGTTGGACCAAAACATTTTACTTCAATTACTAGAATTTTTGACCTAATTTTTTTTAAAAAAATTTTTTACCATTAAAACCGTTAAATTTTCAGTTTTGTAAACTAAATGAAAAAAAAAAAAAATTATGTATCAGATTTCTTAGGAAGAGTGTTTAAAAGTAAAAATATTTTTTATAACTTACACAACTGCAAACTTATGAAACATGTGGCATCTTTTTTTTAATATTTAGTTTAATTTATTCTTAAAAATTAACTGGAATGTTTTATTTTGTAGCATACCAAAGAAGAATACCGAAAATCTTTTAGCAGATCAGATTCTAATACTTCAGATCATTCTGAAAGTCCTAATTCTTTGATGGGAAGTTTGGCTGAGACTCCAGAAGATGTTGGCACCAAAGATGTTTTCTTACCTTTTGATGCGTAGGATACTTTTTTGTTTAAAATTTTTAAATGTTAGTCATTGCATTTATTTAAAGCTCGATTTATTTGAGTGAAATAATGCAATGCTGAATTTTGAATCTGTTTCTGTGGTTCAGTTTTGTTTGTTAATATTATATGGGGGAAAAAGATAGTGCTTTCCCAAATCTATTAAAAATTTTTTCTTTATTTATATTTTGCTAATGAGAAATGAATACAATTTAACACAATTTGTTTTATTTATATTCATTGTAATTTACAATGTAAAATTAAAAATTCTTTTAGATAAATTATTTTCATAGCACATAGAGTGAAAAATAAGAGAAAGTTTTAAAATGTACTTTATTTCATCAAAGTAAATTCATAGTTATAAATTCAAACCTTCTCTTGTGTCTCCCTTTTCTCTATAACGTTTATTATCAGCACGCTATCATCACTTTAAAACTCTGCATACCTTGGTATCTTCTCATCTCTTTAATATCCTTCACTTTATTTTTTACTGACAATGTCTCCATAATGTTTCAAAATTTTTTTTATCAATGTTCCTCAAAAATAATCTCTTGGTCAAATTAATTTAATAGATTCTTTATAAAATGTTATGTCATATCATGCTTTCTTTTAACTATCTTTTCCTGTTGATTAGATATTAGTTTTGAGATTTTAAGAACCAACAAAAGTGTATTTTGTTAAATATAATTTAATATTTTATTTCTTGTACACATTCCTATTTGTCAAGTTTTTACAATTGAAATAAATAAATTTAGTAGAATTTTTTTCATAGTTACCTTAGATAATTTTGTGATTATCTAAATTTTTTGAAAAGAACAGCTTCTATTAATTATTTCAATACCTGTAAAAAATTCTTGAATGAACAAAATTTGAATAATAACTTTTATAACACAGTAAATTTTGAATGATTTATGTTTATCCTTCATGCACCAATTGCGTTCTCATTTCACTTTTAGCAATGGCAAGTCTCTTTCCACCAGCATGCTGAATCTTGAGAGTGAGAAGCACTTCACTATTTCCAAGCTGACCCTCTCAAAGGACCCCCTCCCCCGATTTTCCATCAGTACAGACTGCGATGTAATGACAGAAGATCACAAGGAGTTGTCCCCTGTGGAGGAAACGGATGCCAAGGTCTCTCCCCAGGCCCACCAGCCACCGCCACCATCTGGACGCATCTTTATCCCCCCTATTTCACCTATGACCAAGCAGAGCCCACGCTCAGTCATCAAGTCTGCCTCTGTATCTGGGTTATCTCTTATCATTCCAACAGGTAAAAATACTTTTTACAATATGCTTTCCATTTTTGGTTGAATTTGACAAAAATGATGATAATGTTTTCTTTTAGGGTTCTAGTTTATACTATTCTTTTTTACTGATTTAGAAATTAGTAATTATAGTTCTTTTTTTTTTTTTTTTTTTTTTTTTTTTTTTTTTTCTTTAATTATCTTTCAAGAACCAAAAATATAATAAAAATCTTTCTGAATAAAGAGATTCTCTATGGTATTTTTGTAAGTCGTTATTTTTTTTATATTAAGTAAATATACATGTTTTTTAATAAATTTTTTTTTTTTTTTTTTTTCATTCTTATAAATTTTCTTGGATCTTTCTTTCATATCATTTATTAAGAAATTCACAAGAGACACACTCTTAAAAAGTCCAAAATAAAAATATTAGCAAAGTTTTCATTAAAGAATAAATCTCAAAATTCTTCTTTTTGAAATATAGAATGATAAATATTATTCTGAAAACTTATATGCACATAAATTACTAAAGAATAATCAATTAGAATAATTTCCTGACTAACAATTGTAATAGATTATACAATTTATTATTTGTGTACTTTCAAAAAATTATTTTTAATTTGTAAGAATCATAATTTTATTAACTTATGAAATTTTTGAATTATTGATCAAGATTGCTGTCATATATAGGTACATGTTAACAATTAGAATTTGATCTTCATTGTTGTAAAAGGATGAAAAGGAATGAGGTCTATTACAGTTTTGTATAAATTATAAAAAGTAGCAAAAAGTTTAATTCGTTTAAATTTTGGCTTACCTGTAAAAACTAAACAAATTGTAGTAATTATGGTTTGACATGAATTTGAAAATCATATTGATAATTTAAAAGAATTTTACAATAAATTCATATCACATAAATTATTTTGCCGTTATATTTTATAGATAATCAGCATTTTGCTTAAAATAACGTGCTAAGTTTTCAATATTTTGTGCATACAAATTAGACAAGCTTTCTAATATTTGGCATTATTTTTCAAGAAATTTATTTAGATTTGTTGTGAGATTATGTAAGCCAACTTATCAATACTAATTAGATTACTTGTAAATGTGTAAATTTATTGTATTTTTTTCATGGTTTTATGATTTTTCAATAAACAGTTGTTAGTAAAAATATGAAGCAGAATTTATGCTTGCTTCATTTTATCAATTACGTGTATATTTGTGATTGTCTTGGAAGGCAATAGCTTTGTTATGATTAAAAGAAATTTTGGTAGTTGAGTACTTGGAAGTATTTTCTCATCATGTAATGTTTCTAGATGATTTCGGACCTCCACCCATTGGCTCTCCAGGTGGGTCTAGTACAAGCTCTCGAGATGCATCGCCTAGCAGAGAACTGGGTTCTCTAGCAGCCCAGCTGAAACCTCCCATTATCCTTAGAAAAGGACCCCGAGGATATGGCTTCAATATCCGAGCTATTCGAGTTTATTATGGAGATTCTGATGTTTACACAGTACATCATTTAATTATGGTAAGACCTGTGATTTTTCTTCCATATATATTATAGAACGTTTCAATTGCTCTATAGATCAATATTAGGTGGGTGTTCTAAGTTAAGATAAATTAAAGCTTTACAAAATATTTGTTATAGTTTTATAAAATTCAATTTTTGTTTAATTAATCCTGGAAATTCATTGTAATTCCCAAAGGTAATAATCAATTCAGAATAATAATAACCATTAAGAATTCAATTCAAATTCATATGATCCATGTGAAAAAATAAATCCAAGTGTAGTTTATAGTTTTTACTTTGCTTGATTGTGATTTAAACAATGAATGGAAATAAAAGTCAAGTATGTTTATTATTATGTGCCAACATCAGTCCTGAATAAATCAGTTATAAAAAAGAAAATTCTGATTATTTCCTGTGTATATGTGGGTATGTGTGATTTAGTTTCAACATCTCGTTAGATCACCGAAGTCAAGCATCATTGGGCGCGGTCAGTACTTGGGTGGGTGACCACTTGGGAACACCGCGTGCCGTTGGCAAATTTGGGACCTGAAAGTGTCTAGCGCTCTGGCGCTCGGTGCCACAGGTTTCGGGTTCGAATCCCGGCGGTGCCATGGATGTTTGTAGTGGTTCGGAATCCAAGGTCCCGGTCTCCCTATGACCGTAAGAGCGTCACGCAAAGCAAAAGTCAGGCTTCTACCTACGGGTGCTCCATCACAACAGAAGCTGCTTCCTTCCCCTTCAATCATGAGTCCATATGGGCTCGTGGGCTTGGCCAGCCAAGTGGGATAAGAAACAACAACAACAAACAGTTTCAACATTAATATGTTATTAATCACTAGCTTATAATTGATAACGTTGTTAAATGTTGAAAACCTGGTATCGTTGGTTATGAATAAAATATGCTGCCAAAGAATTTTCTTATCATTCAATAACGAATTTATAAAGTCCAGTTGGTATACTAAAACAAATAAATAAAAAAAATGTACACTAACTTTAAGTTAATAATTTTTAAAAATATCACAATTAATATTTTTTCTGTTGTGGAATTAATATTTAACTCCAGAATTTAGCTTATATTTGTAATTAATCAAAAATTACTTTCACTATTTGTAGACTAATTAATTAAAGTTATTCCTAAAAAGAAGTTTAAATGTGTGTATATACTATTGAATGTTCCAGAAAATTTAATTCCTACATGCCAACCAACTACTATGGATTCTCTGTATTATCTGCAGAAAACAAAAATTTTGGATTATCTACAGATAAAAAAAAAAACTAGTATTTCTTCTGAAATTTAAAAAAAGGCCATTATTTTTTCTATTACTTTCCCAATTAAATCCAAATAAAAACTCCCATTGATTTGAAGAAAAATAATACTAGCTTATCCAAAAGTAAATGCTAAAAAGTTTTTTTTTAATGTTTAAATATTCTTCCTTATTTAATAATGGGTACAAATAAATTTAGTGTCTCTATTATTAGATGATAGAATTTATGGGAAATGTTTAATATTGATATTAGGATTTACAGAAAATTATCTGAAATAATACTAGGAATTAAAAATATTAAGTAAAAAAAAACTTAATATTTTTAATTCCTAGTATTTCCTTTATTTAAAACTTAATTTTTTTTCTCATTCAAGATTGGCATCCCTTTTAATTAAAAAATTTAGCTTTAAAAATCTATTGATATTCTCTGCTTCTTTACACATATATTAATCATTAGGTTAAAACATATTAAATAAAAATTTTATATTTATATTTTTCTAAGTATTTAATTTTTTTTTCCACATAGAATATGGGTTTCATCAAGTTTAATTTCACATAAAAAAGACTTACAAGTCATATATTATGATGATATTCTTAATAAATGATTTTTTTCATTCTTCTACTACAATTGCTTTTTAATGGTTGAATGAAATTTTAACAGTGAAATTTTTTTAATTGAATAAAATAATTTTTGAACAATAAGTTATTACTAAAGATGTTATTACTTAGTGTATTTATCTTTTACTTGAAAAAGCATGCTATAATACTTTTAATGTTTTCTTGGCTTAATAATAACAAGAGCCTTTTAAAATTGTCTTAACAATATAGATTCTGTTAATAAATACCTTTAATCATTAGATATTCATCACTTTATTTGCTAGGTTATTAATTATAAGATGATCATAGTTATTCAATTTTGTATCATTTTATTACTGAGTTAAATAAAGAATTTTAATTATTTTTTCAGTCTGTTGAAAACAATAGTCCTGCTTTTGAAGCAGGCTTAAGACCTGGAGATTTAATTACCCACATCAATGGAGAACCTACACAAGGCTTGCTGCATCACCAGGTGCTGCACCTCATCTTGTCTGGAGGGGATCGCATCAACATTCGAACTATTCCTCTTGAAAGTACAACTATCAAGTCAGGTGGTCGCAGGCGCAATCCATCAGCTATCAAGATGGCCAAACGTCCATACTCCTGCCGTCGTCGTTCAGCTCAGGTTAAGCGCGATACTCACTCTGACAAGAAACGTAGAGCTTCTCTTCTACGCCGGCTCAGCAGTAAAAGAGCCAGTGCTGAGATCCACCAGTCTGTTACAGGTTCATCTCCAGTGTTGACTCCCAGCCGCAGTTTCCAGTCTCTCACAAGAAGTCTGACAGCTGTTGATAGTTTACCTGCTTCTCCAACAAGAACCAAAAGTCCAAGATCACCACCCACAGCCAGGTTATGTTCACAGTCAGATTCCCCACACTCCACGGGTAATTCCTCTCAAAGTAGCTCGCCAAGTTCCAGTGTACCAAATTCTCCTGCCAGTTCAACTCACCTTCCCCATTTTCCTCGACCAAGCTCCCTCCATGGTCTGAAGCACAAGCTGACCCAGACATTCCATTCACCAAGGAGAAAATCTGTTGGACACATACCTCTCTCTCCTCTGGCTCGCACACCTTCACCATCACCTATCACTTCAACATCTCCTACCCGATCGCCATCGCCTCTTGCATTCCCTATTGGCCATCATCACCCTACCAACCCACAGGCCATAAAAACAACTTCGATTCTACCTCTATCTGCAACCATCTGCTCGTCAGCAAAGAAATCTTTCATGCGACCGAAAAGTGCTGAACCGAGCTCACCGCTGCTTCGACGGGCTTTGTCACCCGATCGGCTTCATCCTAAGTCAGCTGAGGCAAAAGCCAAGCGAGAGTCTTTTTCTGGTCAGGCATCTCCTTTAGCACTGGCATCATCTCCATCTCCAAGAGGACATTATTTGTCACACAGCTCTTCAACCAAACTCTGTGTGACGCCACAGAGGTCCTCTTATGGTGTATCTGGTGTCGGCAAGAGCATGAGCGACTTGGCAGATGTCACTTGTGATTCTTATTTATTTCAGGAAAACGAGGGAATGTGTGCAACCCCGAAATTGAGGATGGACAGTCGAATAAGTCGTTCGACTGTATCACAGATGCGCAGAAAAGGAGAAAAACCTGTTAAGTCATTGCTGACTCAGCAACTTTTTGCTGCAGATCAAGAATCTCACAAAGACATTGAAGCTGCAAAAGTCTTGACAGCTGGAACACCAGACATAGAAATCACTAGATGTTCTTTGTCAATTGATTCAGATGAGGAAGGCTCAACTAAAATACCTTCTTCATGTGAATCATTGAGCGGTAAAAGAGAAAGAAGTGAGTCAGAGCCAGCTCCTATTTCAAATTTCAGCTTTGATGTTGCCAAAAGTCCAGGCCGTATTTCGCCAAATAAAATCACTGCTAATAAGGATATCATTCCAATATCAAATTCAACCCCTTGTGATAAAAACTGTGCTTCAGTTTCAATAGCTATTAGTAAAGAATCTGATGATCAAATTAAAAATAAAGATAGTGATCCATCTGTTGAGTCAAAAGATGGCAAACCATCTGTTGATTGCAAAGGTAGCAAAAAGTCTGAGTGCAAAGAGGGTGCCCAGTCTGTTGCACAAAAATCTTTTGAAAGTAAAAATACTAGCCAATCTGTTGATAGCAAAAATGATGAAAAACAAGAGTTAAACAAAATAGAGACAGCCAAAGGGAAGGTAACAGAAAAATTAAAGCAAGAAGTTACTACCATCAAAGCTGATTCAAATATTTCAGAAACAAAAATTGAAATTTCCAAAGCAATCTCTTCTTTAGAAAAGTCAAAATACAGCACTGAAAAGTCTGCAAGTAAGGATACTAAGAATAATATGACACAATCTGTTTCCACAAATCAGTCTAATGTGGTAGAGGAAACAAAAAAGGTGGTTCCCACTCGGAAAATTGCGACGGTCGTTATGGTTAGTGAAGATCTAAAAAAAGCTGAAGAGAAAAATAAAATATTTACATCTTCTGTTGAAATCAAACTTTCAAAATCCAAGTCTGAGGCCAAATCCGAGTCTAAATTGCCATCAGAGAGTTCTAAGAAAGATAACAAAACTGAATCAACCAAGAAGACTTCAGATAAGAAAAAGTCGGAGAAAGAATAGTTGTGGAATTTACGTTACATGTAAATAGATTTAGTATATGTTGCAAATTGACCAAAAAAAAAAAAAAAAAAAATGTTTGCTTGATTCTTCCTCTTCCAAAACTTATTTATTTTTTTTTGTAACCAACCATATTTCATTTATATTTTAATGTTTGCTTTATCCAGCGAAATTTTTAGCTCTGGTCATTTCTATGAAATTATAATTCATCTGTAATTGCGATGCTCAGTAAAAATACTTATCAATATCTTAATTATAAACACTGACTTTTCTTATGATTTTTTATATCATTTGAGGAAAATATGTATATAGTTGTTTTATGAAATCTTGTGTGAATAAATTGGGTTTTTTTTATATTTCATTTCATACCTGGTAGTTATATTTATGTTTTAATGCTTTGGTAATGAATATGTTTATTTGCATGTTTTTAGTAAAAATTCAATTTCATAAGAACTTTGTGTTTTCATTGTTTCCTCTATCCATCTAAGAAAAAGGCTACTATTTTTTATAATTAACCTTTTTTTTTAATGCTACTGTTTTATGAAGGGCAATTATTGAAAAGTAAATTGCATTAGCATATTTGCAGAGGATACACATTTTCTTTGAATTAGTTATGTATGCAGTGTTTTTTTCCCCCCAAATTTTTTTGTTGATTTCTGAATGGGGTTTAGGGATGCTATAAAAACTAATTAAATGATTTTAAAAGTATGACTATATTTATACAATATGAAATGAGCTTTGTCTGTGATACAGATTATTAAAACATAATTTATAAAAATTTAATTCAAACAGGTATGCTGTTCTGCTCTTCTCACAATTTTATCAAGTTTCTTGAAAGGGGTTTGAAAAGTTAAAAATACAAATTAATTATGTAAAATATTGATTTTCATATAGCTTCCTGTTATTTGTGTTTTTGATGTTGATCTTTAAATGATCATTGGTAAAAGTCTGACATTTTTATTTTCTGACTGTAATTTGATGAAATAGTACTTTAAATAGGTACATATTTAGATGCAAAATCATCTTTTATTTGTGTCTTAGAAGATAACA